GTTTGAATAAACATAATTTGGTTTTAAATATTAAAAAACATTTTTAATTTGTATTTACATATGAAATGATCAGTAACTTGGGAAGGGAAATTACTGAAATAGCACATTGTAATTATTATTACGATTTCACTAATTGAAACTAAACAACATCCTTATAAAAATAATTAGGATTAGCCATTATTTCAAGAATTATAATAATAGTATAAATTGGTATAAAATTTTCACTTTGTAATTATCCTAGAATTTAATCCTTGATTTTTGTAGTTACAAATTTTATTTACTTTTATAAGCAATTTCTTATTTTGATTGTTTCGTAGCTCGTATTGTTTAAATGTGTGTGAAATGATTTTGAAGCGTTCGTGCCATAAATAGAAAAAAATAAAGGCGTCTGTCTGTCTGTCTATTTGTCACAGATGGTTTTCTCACAGTTGGACATATTTTTATGTAGTTTACAACGTAAAAAATTATTAAAAACCTTTCGAAACTAATTTATGAAAATAACTGCCTAAGCACTTTTTCTTCTGACCTAGGGTGCTTCTGGGTACAAGTCCAATAATAATTTGTGGGGTGTTACCCTTGGTTCAAAAGATTTCAGTTAGTTCAGGACAGTTCTCAAGGAACCAAGAGATTTTTCAGATGGACAAAAATATATTCTGTATACGTCCACTAAATTACGTATTTGTGCCAACGCGACATAAAAAAAATGCCGACAATGTAATGAGTAATTTCTGTGTCTATTAGTAGTCAACTAGAAATTGCTAACAGGCTGATTTTTTAAGGGTTAATGAAGGGATGCCTCCGGAGTATGGAGCCAAAAAATCATACCCGAAATCCGTCGAGGTGGTATTGAAATAGGGGTGGTTTCCTATTCATTTTTGTTTTTGGAAATTTTGTTTTCCGACATGTAAACACTAATATTCTTTACAACTTATATTTTTTTTTGTAACTTTTATATCTTACGCTCCATGCAGTGCTCATTATAGGTATGAAAAAAATGCCATATTTATTTATTAATACTGGTTAATATCCATATTAAATAAATTAATCATAAGGAAAAGCAGTAGCGAGTTGTACAAGTAAGACAAATAAAAGCATCCCTATTACCTAAAACCCCGACGGGATAATAAATATGGCATTTCTTTCATATAATGGACACTGCAGCCTAAAATATAAAAGTTATAAAAAAAAATTATGAGTCAAAGTTGTAGAGAATATTAATGTGTACATTCCGAAAAAAAATCAAAAAACAAAATAAAAT